AGCAGGGTGGATGTTAACAGCAGCAACTATAAAGATGTTAGCGGCTCTAGAAATGTGGCTGTATCGACGTATACTGAGTATACCTTGGACAGACAAAGTTTAGACAGAGGTATTAAGACGAATGGGTAAAGAGGTCGAATTGTTAACAACTGTTAAAAGGTGGAAAGCGTCATACCTAAGCCATGTGTTTCGTAATGATAAGTACAGTCTGCTACAGATTATCGTGGAAGGCAAGATTGAAGGTAGAAGAGGTTTGTTCAGAAAGAAGAAATCCTGGCTGAGAAACTTAAGAGAATGGTTTCAAATACCAGAAGCTACGAACATAATACATGCGGCACAAAACAGAGAAACCTATCGTTTGATGGTCGCCAACTTTCGGTAGAAGACGGCACATAAAGAAGAAGAAGTAGGTTCCGCATGTATATACCTAACAAACCTCGGAAATATGGACTGAAAATAATGGCTCTAACAGACGCAAGTACCCACTATTTCTATAATGGCTATATTTACTGTGGTAAGGATAGTAATGGTTTTTCTTTAACAAATGGGGAGAGATGTTTTATAAAACCAACACAGGCGGTGTTGAGAGTGTGTCATCCAATTGCTAACCAAAATGTCACAGCAGATAATTGGTTTTCATCCATAGACAGTCTTAAAAAAACGAGGACTGATCTATGTTGGCACGCTTAAGCGAAACAAAAAGGAAATACCTAGGCAGTTTCTTCCAAGTCAGAACAGAGCTGAAGGATGTTCCATTTATGGTTTTACAAATGACCACACTATAATTTCCTACGTTCAAAAAAAAAGAGAAGACAGTTGTGTTAATATCATCTATGCACCATACCGAATGAGAGGACATAGAATCTGGTAAACCCGAAATCATTTACTTATATAATCAAGCAAAACGCGGTGTGGATGCAGTAGATCAAAAATGTACCACATATTCTACTAACCGGCCATTCTACTAAGCGATGGCCAATGATTATTTTTTTACAATATTGAATATTTCAGGTGTCAATGCACACATTTTACATGGACGTTATAAAAAAACCAAGCCATAGAGAGAAAAGCCTTTTACAAAATTCTTGCAAGACAAGTTGCAGAACCATATCTCAATATACGACTACGAAAAATTTCGTGCAGCAAATGTTCCTGGCCCATGTGCGGCGACTGCAGGGCGTATGCTTGCAAGAATTGCTTTTAGAAAAATGCTACTTGGTAAATAGTTCGCAGTTTTGTTGATAATAATATTATATTTTAATTAGAGAGTTTGTATATTTTAGTTCCTTGTTTTTTATATGAAACGAAAAAATCAAGAAAGAAACAGTGATTTTATTTTTTATATTTCTTTTGTAAGAAATTATGTTCTGCTGTCAGAAAATCTTGAAAAATATGTTACATTTTTATTAGCATTTTTCATTATTAATAAAAAATAAATAAAAAATGAGCTTACATGGTTGTATTCCAGCTTAAATGATTACAAATTATAACGAAATAATGAATTATGGCTTTACTAATTTCACAAAAAACTAAAAAAAAATGGGGCCTGGTAGACCCTAGGAAGCAGTTAACATATAGAGATCCTGTTAGTGATCCCATAGTAAATCATGAGGAAAAAACCTCATCATTATCCCGAAATGGTAAGTATTTAGTCTTACATTTAGTTTACTCTCAATATTAACACCAAACTTTGATTTTTTATGTAGGTATGTTATTTTAAAACATAAATGATCTATCATCGATATGTTACTGACTTAATAGCGGTGTTTTCTTTCTGCCGATTTCCTCTTTTAATATTGGTAACCAGATCCTACTGCATTCTACTAAAGAATTTGAGAAGCAATTGGTTTCATTTAACATAATAAGAACAACTTCTTTGATTTTTCTTTTTTACCATCTGATTCTTTTAGTAGATTTCTTCCATCTTTAAATTTTACAAACCTTAGTAATCAGTCTATACTACTTGGGTTTTCCTTCAAATAAAGAATACCTGAACAGTTCACGTACATTCCTGTAGTATTTTTCGTATTAGTTGTAGTAGATAGGTTCCTCGAATAGTTGCAAAAACTTGAACGAACCTCGTACACTTACTTAACTTTGCGCGATTCGTCCTCGGGCGCATTACAAATCGTGATTTGTATTTCTAATTGTTTAATTCTTTTTTTTTCTTCTTGTAGGTAATGGTTACCTCACCTCGCCACCACCGGATGGCAGATGGTCATAACAAAGTTTATCGACCTGCCTTTAAATTATGAATGTCAACTCAAATATTCTAACCCGAAGTTGACTATGTTTGCCTTCGGCATTTCATGCATCATGTGCTAATGGTTATTTTTTCTAAAACTAACAAAGTGCATCGGTTTTACATCAAGTCGGGATGTTTCCCAAGACTTGAACACGTTAAAGAGCAATGAACAAATACCTTACGAGATGGTATTTATTGAAGTGATGAAGTCTTTTCTATATCTTTTAACTTTACTTGTAATTTTTTATTAATATTCATTAAAAAATACGAAAAATGGTATTTTTTATGAGTTCGTATTTTTTATGAGATAAAAGAATGTTTCACACAAAACACACCAAAATAAACAAGAAATTGAAAATTTGAAAACAGTTATCTAGAACTTATATAGAAAACAAAACTTATGTGGAACTAGAAACTTTCAGAGAAAATAGACACTCAAAACAAATCAAGTATAACAAAGATATATCTTATTTAGCATTTTCATCAAACTTTGCTCCAGCTTTTCAAGTGCTATGTCCTATGATTTTTCTTTCTTTCAGTTTATAATTTGTAGTATTTCTATAGTTCTGCGATTTTGATTCATTCTTATTATATGTTGTGTTCTCATGTTGTTATGTATTCTTTTATTTTCTTAATGATCGAATAGTTATTCACACTTGTGTTACGTCTTCATTTCTCTGTCTATCAAATCTTATAATGCCTTGAAATCTTTTGGGAAATCTTCTGGCAAAAAATTTTCTCCTTGTGTTATTACATAGATTTGTAGCGTTTCATTTTTGTTGTAAAAATGGTTCTTAAAAAATGTTTGGTTGTGCTCTATACCTATAATATCTGTCTTTATTGCCTACGTCTAAGTACGCCGGAATTCAGTTTTCTCCTATAATTAATTTTGTCTGTGTAATAAAGTTAAAAGTACTTGTACAGACTCACTTCATCGATTAAAAATGTTTAAATGTACGTTTTTAAGTTTTCTGGCAACAGGCTATATAAAACCCAGACGCAAAGTTTTAAGATATTTTCAGTTTCGTATCACGATGGCAGCGGGCGTTAAATAATTAGTTTTTTTTTAATATAATTTTCGTGGTGAAAACTCGCATATTGCGGTCAGTCATTTCATTTTTCTTCCTATTTATTTGACCATAAATTATAGAAAGATTTTTTTATCTTTCTAGAGTTTTAACGTTCGCGCTGTATTTAAGAAGCCGCTCTCGTTATTATGTTATCAATCCTTCTGTTTGATAAGAAGGGATTCCGACCTTCTTGAGGTAGTACCTACATGTCTTCTTTTTTGAGTTAACACATGACCGCTTGACTTGAATGACTCCAATTTGCCCACTGGCGGATTTTAAGTGAGTGCGTAAATATTTGATTTAGATATTTCATGTTACAGTTTTATTGTTATTAGGGATACATTTATGTAATTCATTGCATGACTTAATTATTATTTATTTTGATTTAAAAAGTTACATATTTCTTTTTGATGATATTACGTAATTAATTATATGACTTAATTCTTATTAATTTTTAATTATTAAGAAGTTACATATTTCATGGGAATATTACGATTAGTTTCTAAAGTATATTCTACGAACCCAAAAAGCTTGTTCGGTCAACAAATTGTGGTCCATCTCCCATATTTATCAATTTTGAAGTTTTAAGTAATAATTAATCTACTTTTTGAATAATCGCTTACTTTGATTTGATTTACGACCGAAATTTATAGATATTAGGGTATTGATGTCAGTATACGCCTTTAGTTAGCATAGATAAATAAATAAATTTTTTGAAGTTGATTTTTTTTATGATTTTATTCTATTGAGACTAATTTTTTTACATTATATAGGTAAGCAAAGTTATTTTTAATAGTTTCACTTACGTAATTATTTTATATTTTTTATAACGAATTTCAATCTTTTATAAATTTCTGGTTAAGATTTATTGGCGTCCATCTTTGCAGTTTAACTGTACTCAGTATGTCTTGGTGGTTTAAGTCAAACTGTTATCTACCTACCTATTATCCTTTTAATCTGCATATCTTTACCCACCCCAAATGACGATTCAGATACTGACCATCGCCTTCTTCGTAATGTTTCTGTGTATGATCGGCTTATTACCACCTAACATCATTTTTTTTGTCCACTTTGAACTCTTTTTCACCACTTATGAGGCCTGATCCTTCTTATTTTGACCTTTATAGATTTCACATCTATATTACAGAGTAGGTGTTCCCATTGAGTTACAATAAAGTTTTACCATTGCATCGTTTCTTATCTTGTTCTTCAATGTCCTATGATTTATTTCTAATTTATATCGAAATCTGTCAATTTTGTGATTACTGTCACTTAATTCAAGTGGTAAATCGAAAATTGGTATTTTGGTTTTTATGAGGTATTTACCTTCAATTTAACCCTCTATTTTGCCGTTATTTTCATATGAAAATATGAAATTTTTACACATTAAATAGAGTTGCAGATGGTTTTCTTTTGCTCACTTTCTATATAAAGAATTTCTCATCACTTAACCTCAGTTTAACAAATAATGATTTGTTAACTTAAAGATAAAGTGTCTTAACTTAGAAAGTACGCTACAAAAACAGGGGGAAAAACCTAAATATTTTTGAGAATAACGTAATTTAGTTGACAAAGTTAAATTCATGTTGAAAATGTAATATAAAACTAAAAAAATAAAAAACTACTTTTACTACGTCCATCGTTAATGAATACCCTGAAAAAGTCAGTAATTGTTGATTGTTTACCTTGTGTTAGGTTATCGATTTCACACTCCAGCACAGTGATAGATTTAACACCACCATCATTTAAAGCATTTTTTTTTAGAAAATAACACTTTAACACATTGAGGGCATCTCTTGCGTCATTTGATGTAATATCTGGTTGACTAACGAGTTCTTCATCCACGTCGTCTTCTGCTTCTACTTCTGTTTCTTGCTCCCCTGCCACGGCATAGGATACAATTTCAGCATAAGTGAGCTCTCCACAGATTGCAACGTCATCATCCAAGTTGACAAACTCTTCAAAATCCAAGTCCACGTTTAAAGCCTCCCTCACTCTAGTCCAACATCCTTCAATTGGTTTTGGTTGTTGAACTTCTGGATTGTCCTCATCTTTGTTTTGGTCACGATCATTAATTACTATTAAACTGGGAATAAGCCACAATTAAAGATAAAAATACGTTTATTGACGTTTCAATTTCCACTTCGGAATTCGTTCTCAAAATACAAACAGTAAATTAAACAAATGTTGTTTTTTGTTACATAGTGAAAAATTCTTCTAATAATTTAATTTTATCTGACTCATTTATATTGACAATTCAAACATACATTATGCATTTTAAAGTAGACGACTTTAAAATGATATTGCCAATATTGTTGAGTTGCGCTCCTGGGACGACTTTACTTATAAGATAGTTCATTCGATTACATGCAATCAACTTTAACTTGAGAATATCCGTCAGAAAAAAATCATAGCATGTAATTCGTCTTTAAAAAGACAAACACATGACATGATGACAGTAAAATTCTCCTGTTAGTGATTCCATAGTAAATTTTGAGGGAAAACCCAGGAAAAAAACCTCATAATACTATCCCGACATTGTAAGTATTTGTTCGTGAATTTAGTTTACCTTCAACAAACATCAAAATTCTGATTTTATATGTTACGTTATTTAAAAAACATAAATGATGTATCCTCTATATGTTACTGACTTACTAATACTGATATTTTCTTATTAATAATTTTTTTCGCTCATAATTTACTATGGAATCACTAACAGGAGAATTTTACTGTCATCATGTCATGTGTTTGTCTTTTTAAAGACGAATTACATGCTATGATTTTTTTCTGACGGATATTCTCAAGTTAAAGTTGATTTCATGTAATCGAATGAACTATCTTATAAGTAAAGTCGTCCCAGGAGCGCAACTTAACGATATTGGCAATATCATTTTAAATTCGTCTACTTTAAAATGCATAATGTATGTCTGAATTGTCAATATAAATGAGTCAGATAAAATTAAATTATTAGAAGAATTTTTCACTATGTAACAAAAAACAAAATTTGTTTAATTTACTGTTTGTATTTTGAGAACGATTTCCGAAGTGGAAATTGAAACGTCAATAAACGTATTTTTATCTTTAATTGTGGCTTATTCCCAGTTTAATAGTAATTAATTTACAATGCCACAAGAAAATAGCTTCAGAACAATGTCATGATCATTCACTTGAAAGCCGCTTTTCTTGAAACAGTTGACAATAGTTTTATCGTTAACATTGTTCCATGCCTTTGTAAACATCCACATAGCATCTAACACACTAATTTTGGTAGGAAATTGGCATTCCAAGTCGTTCAAGAATTGACGGACAACCTTTCTCCTGTACTTGATTTTGAAATTTTGTATTATTCCTTGATCAAGCGGTTGGAGTTTAAACGTTGTGTTTGAAGGCAGGAACTGAACTTTAATGTTGGTTATCACCGGAATATCTCCATGTGCAGGGCAATTGTCGATAAATAAAAGAATGTGTTTCTTCTTCTTTTTAATCGCGTTGTTGGTTTGTTTCAGCCAGTCACCGAAGACCTATCCGGTCATCCACGCTTTTTTATTAGCTGTATAGTCTGTTGGTAAGGTTGATACGCTTTTGAAACATCTGGGTTTTTTATTTTCCTTTGCTGTTTTTACCCCCTTGGCAAGGGTCTCCTTTCAACACTAACGTTTTGTCCGGTAGGCACTTTAAAAAAAAACCCTGTCTCATCAACATTGTAGATATCATCTGCATTGTATCCACGGGTCAAGTCTGGCAATTTAGCTTTCCAATTTTCGCAAGTTACATCATCCATGGCAGCACTTTCATCACAAAATTTTTGGAACAAATTTCGTGTCTCTTTTTGAACCGATCCATCCAGCCATTACAGTTGAGCCTTTTCTTGGAGTATGGGACCTCTAACGGGTACATTTTTAACACGGCACGGTTTAAACCACTTAATAACAAAATCCACAAGGAAAACAATTCCTGTAGCTGGCTGTATACCACGTATCACAAAAACAGGTTAGTCTTCATAAATGGGTATATTTATTTAAAAACCCTTAAAAGGGTTACATCAAAAAACAAACGTTTTCGGACTAAACAGTCCATCATCAGGTTTAAATTTTAAAATTGCTAGGTTATAATGCCTGAGCCACCAAAATACCTGGGTAAAAACCCTTTAAATTACATATAGCTGTAAAAGATTATACATCATGTTGTAAAATAACTGTGATGTTCAGTATTAAATTAAATATGACTTCAGGTAACATACATGGCTGAAGTAAGTTCCAGAGCCGGAGAGTAAACCTCTTCACACGGAGAACAGCTGGTAACTGTTACCTCATGGTAACCCGCTGGTACTGTAAACTCATTTTTTATTATTGTGGTTAAAGTGGAGGGAGTGATGTCAAAGTTCTTGGCAATCTCAAATTTCTTCTTTTTGGGATTTTCTTCAACAAATTGTGTCAGTTTACGTTTAAATTCTACTGTAAGCGTTTTTCTATTGTTTTTGCGACATAGCAAAAAATACGAACACAAAATAAAAAAAAACTTTACACTTCGACGTACTGTACGATAATAACACTCAAATCTTTAGGTATTTTACGTACTGATCACAGTGTAAACACAGTGTCAAGGTCAACACTGCACTGACTGACTGATGGTTCTAGGGGTAAGGGGTGGGAAGCAGGTCACAGTGTTTTCATGTCTGGACTTGTCCGTGAGTCACCACAATCTATACTAAACTACGCTAAACCGAGGTTTGGAACGCAGAAATGCGTAATACAGGGGTTTTGTGCATTATGTAGGGATTTGCTACACTCAATATTCATTATACAGGGGTTTTAATTTATTTCCGCAAATCGTAAAAATTCGTTATATCGAGGATTAAAACCGAAATAGTTCGTTATATAGGGGTATTTTTTACATTGAGTATTACGAACGTTTGAAGAAGATTTAAAAAAATTGTTATATCTTGAAATTTCTTTATGATTCCTAAGTTCCATTAGTTTTAAGATGACTCCAAACGTCGATAGGTGCCAGACTAATTTTATGTATACGCAAAAACTAAGCAATATTTACAAAGTGTTACTTTACATATTCATTTGAGTAGATACGAAGATACATAGAAAGCATTCACTCTTTTTCTTTCTAACAAAAAGCCTATAACCCGTAATTCTCCGATGGTCTCACTAATTTTTTGCGCTCATCTAAAAACGCATTCCTCGTCTCTTACAAAAATAGATGTCTTCGTAGGCGAACAATCGCGGCTTTTAGTACCTATAAATTATTGTTTATTGCAGTAATTTCTGTTAAATTAAAAATGACAGTCAATGCGTTTCTTCGTTGGTGCCCATTTACCTTCGAGTGGACATAAATCAAGCTGCTATAAACGAACAAGATCGTGATCGTCTTTCGAAAGGTGAATTTGTCAATCAAGCGGTAAGTACGAGACGTTCTCTGCAGTATTGTTTTTCTTAAAGCTTGTATGATTGTGGTTTGTATCTAAACATGAACAAATGTAAAATTGAGAGTTGAAAAAACAATACTATATCCTAATACTTCAAAGGTAAACGTTTTTCATACATAAGATCAAAATAATTGATGGTAGACCTGAACTGATTTTGTATTTGACACATTAACCTTTAAAGTCATTGTAAAGTTTACAAATGTGTGTAAATAAGATTGTTTCTATAGTCATTTTGCAATATGCTGTATCAATATCTAATGTTATGGTTTAAATGAAAATACTGCTGTTCAATAAGAAATGTACCTATATCTTTGTATTACTATACTTGCAAAAATGTTATAAAAATAATCTTAACAAACACAGAATAGATAAACGGTCTATTGTCAAGAAACCTATAAATGAAAAAATAGAACTACCCAAATATAATCATTGCTCGAATACAAGAGTTTTACTAATCAACGTGGCATTGTTTCGCCAGTTTTCCCTCAGTTTCACTGATTGCTAAAAGGCAATTTAGAGCTGCTAGTTTTTTTTTAATTGTAAAACTGTAGTATGAGAAATTAGACTTGAGCCAGCTTAAAAATGAACATCTACGACAAACAGTGCGAGAAGAAATAAACACCAGCCTCAGTGTAGCAGAAAGCCAAATCCGCAGAACAGACAACATAGATGAAAAACTTAAGTATATAAATACTATAATAAGAACTACGGGAAAGAAACACCTAACCAAATCTACAAAGAAACATAAGGTGTGGATGACACCAGGCATTCTAGAACTAATGGATGAAAGACGTAAAATGAAGAACAATGCAGAAAAATACAAAGAGGTTGATAAGAACATAAAGCAAAGAATAAGAAATGCCAAAGAATCATGGATTACAGAACAATGTGTAGAAATGGAAAACTATGAAAGAAAGTATGACACGTTCAATATACATAAAAAAGTAAGAGAAATTACAGGAACCCAAAGAAGACGTCAAATAAGTTTGCTTAAGAACAAAGATGGAAAGATTATTATAGATTTAACAGAGAAAATTAATAGATGGAGTGAATACATAAGAGAATTATTTGAGGACAACAGAAATAACATTGTTCTGATATATGGCGAAACGGGACCTGAAATTCTAAAATGTGAAGTAGAAATGGCACTTAAAAATTCCAAAACTGGGAAGGCAAATGGACCGGATGAGGTTCCTACCGAATTGCTAAAGCTCTTGAATGATGAATCAATAGGTATAATATTGCACTTATTTAATACAATATACAATACTGGCATTATACCTCAAGAGTGGCTGTTGTCTACATTCGTTACACTGCCAAAGAAATCTAATGCTAAAGAATGTTCAGAACATCGAACAATATCTTTAATGAGCCACCTACTAAAGATATTTCTAAAAATCATCCACAACCGAGTTTATCAAAAGTTGGAGTCAGATATTAGTAATACACAGATGGGGTTCAGAAAAGGCCTTGGTGCTCGAGAAGCTCTCTTCGGTTTGAATGTTCTCACACCAAGATGCCTAGACGTTAATCAGGAGGTACATACGTGTTTTATCGATTTTGAAAAAGCGT